TCGAAAAATGAGTGTGCGTAAAATTTCCCGTTTTTCCCTTAATTTTTCTCGATTATTTAGAAAAGTATTAAGAACTTTTTACTTTTGACCCCCCCAAAGTACCAATTAGATTCACTTTCTGATCGAACGAGGTACTGAAGTCAAAAATCGAAGCACTTTCACTGCCCCAAAACGTGATGACAGACACAAAAAAAAACACACACACACACACATCATGGTAAAATCAATACATTCATCGCTCCGCTCAGAATCTAAAATGACAGAAAAATTGGGAATTTTTACGCAAAACCAGATTTCAACCAAATCGATGTTTTTATATGGTTGTAATTCAATAATTAATCACTGTAAATACTTGAAATTTTCACCAAATGTTTATGTAAGTGTTATCTATATACAGTTTAATTTTCAAAAATGTTTGAATTTTTTTTTAGTTATTTATAGACCACTGAAATTTTCGATTTTTATGAGAATTTTTTTTGAAGTGTCGGTAAAAAAATGTTGGATGACCAAAAAAACCTGAAAATTTAATACAAGGTTCCTTATGAGTTGTTCTTATTGTAGCTAAAAAAAATGTAAAAACTTTTTTTGTGTTCATTTATTTTGCCTTAGGTCACACAATAACCAGTTGTTGAATTGGAAAAAAAATAAAGGTGGACTCTAAATAAAGTAGAACAATTAGCGTTCCGTAACAAATTAATTGAATAGTATAACCCTAATATAATAAAGCAGTACGCTATAATATAAGGTAAAATGAAGAGTTTCCCAATCTCCCTACGTCCTCCCCAATTCAACCACTGGCTATAGCAAGATAGAGATCCCAAACAATACATCCATATACCTACTTAAGAATGGGGTGGACAACAAACAAAGACACGATATAATAGGTACCCTAACAGACAAATTTTGGTTCATTAGCCTGGAACCTAATATGCATATATATAAGTATATTATCCAACGATTTAAACGTCTTACAGCATATAATATACCTATTCAATATGTTGCTTGAGCTCACGGTTGGAAGTGAACTTAAAATCGATATCTAAAACACTATTAGTTACATGCAGAATATTGAATGCATTAGAGCTGTGAGAAAAAACCACCAGAAATTGGGGATTCTGTCAAATATATAGGTACACTTTACACTAAGAAAATAATATGTTGATATATCAAATAGATTATAATTAAGAATATTAAAAAACTAATTATAATGGTTACAAATCCAGTGCAATAAACCAATCTGAACACATATATAGAGATCAGTTTGCAGCAAACGACAAAAATTGTTAGCGGATATAAATCATTAAGATATTAATTTATATTATTGTATAGTATAATATATACGTTTAAATATCTAAAATGTATATCAAATATTTGATATTCATACTCTTTTAAAAATTCAAATCACGTAACATTTAACTTTTTTAATGTCAGTAAAGAATACTTATGATTTATGAGAAACTTTGTATCAAAAATTCAGACCTAAGGTATTAACATTTTAAATTGTATTCATTTTTAACAGCAAAATAATGTACACTTTTTCAATTTTGAAAAATGTTGATCAAATTTCTAACTTAAACGTTTATAAAAAAATTTTTACAAATGTCTTGAAGATATTTTTAACCGCTATCTAAAGAGCTAACAAGAAACTTTTTATTTAATATTTGAGCTTGTTTACTGATAACCAAAACAAAAATCAACATCATTTGAAAAATAGCACAACATTTTGAATTCACTACTCCCTTGGAAACTGTAATTTTAATAATAATAATAATAAATAATTTTAAAAAAGGTTGTATAATATAATACATTTAAAAATTTAAAAACTCAATCGGTGAAATAGGAGTTTAACAGCTACTGGCTTTTACACTAATAATGGATATTAGACATTAGTAATAGATAGATGACGGATCAGACGTATACGTATATTATTTTTATCTGCGATATATGCCGATGTGGATTCAATTACGTTGCCCGGCACGCTCGTTGGTATATATTAAGCATGTATACATATTATGCACGCGCGTGACGCGCACAGTTTATGTGCCTGTCTCGACAATCAGTCGTAAGTAATATAGCTCACGCAACACTGCGCCTCGCATAATGGTTAACACCACTGTAACGTATTTTATCGTCGCGGCCACCGTGGCCGCACACTACGGTGCATCCGCGGCTCGTATACTCGGAGTGTTCCTACATCAAGGATACAGTCATCATATGGTGTTCTTACCTTACTTGAGGACACTGGCGGACCGCGGACACGACGTGCACGTGATCAGCAATTTCGATTCTTCACACCCGAACATTACCGACATCAGCGTCATGGGATCCATGCCCATGCCCAACAACAATGTCACATTCCCGGGCACTGCAGGGCAGTTTGGCATCGTTGACTCTTTGATGGCCATGTTCCAACTGTACGAAATGGCCGAGGCCACGGAGGGCGTGTTCAAAGTGCCGGCTGTCCAGCGTTTGCTCAACGATCGGACCACGTCATTCGACCTGGTCATCGCAGAGCACTTTAACAGCGAGCTTCCGCTTGGTTTTGCTGCAAAGTACCGCGTGCCATTTATTTTACTCAGCAGCTGTACACCATTTCCGTGGACCACGTCCTTGGTCGGCCAGTCACAACATATGGCATACAGACCGTCCTTGTTAAGCGGCCTGCCGGAACGCATGGATCTCGTTCAGAGGTTGACCAACACGGCCGTGGCGATGGTGTCCACGGCTATGTTCCGGCTGATGCACCGGCCCTGGAGCCAACGGATGCTRAAAAAACACTTTGGACTGAACGTGTCCCTGGACGAGTTAGCGTCCAATGTCAGTCTGGTATTAGTCAACACGCACTGGTCCTTACATGGCGTATCGCCAACC